CCAACCCCGAGCTGCGCCCCAACCTGCCCTACCGCCAGTTCAACACGTGGATGGGCGACCCCGCCCGCGCCCTCCTCTTCCGCGCCATCCTGTCCGAGGTCCGCGCCCACGACCTCGTCGAGCGCACCGCCCAGGTCGGCGCCCACCTCTTTGCCGGCCTCGAGCGTCTCGCCGCCAAGTACCCCGACCAGGTCGCCAACCTGCGCGGCAAGGACCGCGGCACCTTCATCGCCTTCGACAGCCCGCGCCGCGACGAGGTGCTCAAGACGGCCAAGACGCTCGGCGTCAACATTGGCGGCTCGGGCGCGAGCGCCGTGCGGTTGAGGCCCATGCTGGTGTTTGAGGAGAGCCATGCGGATATCCTGCTGGAGACACTGGAGACGATTGTGTCTTCTTGATGTGTCTTTCTGTTTAGGAAAAAAAAATTACAAGTAGTGATTCATCTTCGACAAGCGACGGACTATAAGAAAGCTATTGACTAGTTAATACAATACTGCATGCCAGACCACAATACTCCTTTCTCTCCCCCCCTCCGCTCTCACTTCTTCATGACAGACTTGGTTCGGTCCGCAAGCTTGTGCAGCTCGCTCGATGCCACACGCATCCTGCCCACAAGACCCGATGCCTTTCTTTCGCCTGCGGGGCTGCCCAGTGGCAAGACTGGAGACTCGCTCTGGCACCTTGGCCTTGGACTCTATCTGTCCTCCCGCCTCCATTGCCTGCAGGCCTCCTTCCCGTCTTGGCCGGTTGCTTCTCGTGTTGCGCGCTGGACCGCATGCTCACCATGGACATGGCCCTGTGGGCGAGCGTCTTGACGTGTTCCTTGGCTCGCTTGGTCCGCGTTGGGGCCGCAGGGCCTTCATGTGACGGAGTCTCCGTCTCAGCGACGGTCGTCGACAATTCCTGGCGGGTCTCTTTGGGCCCGGGATTCTTCGTCTCGGTCGGAATCGCCAGCTTCTCCGCTTGAGCCTCTTCGGGCATGGCGGATGTGATCATCTCCGTCTCGGTCAGAGTCGCCAGCTTTTCCGCTTGAGCCGCTTCGAGCCATTCGTCTGTGAGAATCTGCATCTTGGTAAGAGACGTCGGCTTGTCCACTTGAGTCTCTGCAGTCTCGACGGTTGTGGTGCTCTCCGTCTCAACGCGGGCAGGCAAAGGGGTTGAAGGAACCTTCTAAGACTCTTCTCCCTTCTTCGTCTCCTGAGCTTCGGGCTGTGGGGTATTCTGCACAGGTGGCGGTGGAAGAACAACAAATTCGCCCTGAGAGTTCCTCTGCCAAATTGGAGATATGGGGCCGAAGGGCGGTCTTCTGTCCAGAATGTTCACGGACTCGGCGGCGGCAGACAAGGCGGCCAGCTTGATCATCAGCCACTGACTCCGAATCATCGCCTCGGTCTTCTTCATATCTGCGGTGGCAGCTCGGAAGGTAAAAACGTGGCCAGACTCGACTGGCCGGCCCGAAGAATCCCACATAATCGGTTTGGTCTCCTTGGGAGAGGTATCATCCGTGCCAGGCGAATCTTTGCCTGTAGGTTCATGGCCTGTGAGGTCTTTGTTCGTGAAGATGTCGCTCAGTGTAGCCGTCACCAATTCTTTCTCTTCCTCGGAATCGAGTTTCATCTTGTTGTAGCAGAGGCCCTCACTGGAATCGGTGGTATGCTTCGCTAGCTCTTCCACCATACGTCTTGGCATCCAATGTAGCTCGACTGAGTAGCTTGACCACTCAGATGTGTCGCTGCCCTCGGTATTGGGACCTTCCTGCGGAGCC